TAATGTTGATTAATAATGTCCATATTTCCAGTATGAAACTAAGACACTATAAACACTTAACTAGCCCTGGTCGATTTTGCTCAGTGGTTGGAGCCTCTGCCCTTGGACGAAGAGTCTCAGGTTCAATTCCTAGTCAAGGGCATCGGTTGCAGGTTCGATCCCTGCCCTGGTTGGGGTTGTTAGAGGGGCAACCAATCCATGTGTCTCTCTCACATCGATGTTTCTCTCTCTCTCACTTCCTCCCTCACACTCTATCAAAAAAAATAAATTAAAAAATCAATCAAAAAATATCCTTGCGTGAGGATTAAAACAAAACAAAAACACAACTGACTTCTACTTCTAACTTGCCTTCATTAGTGTTGAAAGATAAATCTTCATTTCATCTCATCATACTTATGTCACTGTCAATGGCTCCCTACTGCCTGGGTCAGTGGTTCTCAGACTTAGACAGGAATTTATTATGGTGATGATTGCACAACTCTGTGAATATACTAAAAACCATTGAACTGTACACTTTAAACAGGTTAATTGTATGGTATGTAAATATCTCAATAAAGTTGCTATTTAGAAAAATTTATAGAGGAATCAAAGCATCTGGAAGTTGTGGCATGCCATGTGTAATATTCCAAAATGTTGTACCAAAAGCAATTTTACTAGCAGAAAATAAGATTATGGTCTATACCAGCAGTTCTCAACCTGTGGGTCATGACACCTTTGGGGATCGAACGACCCTTTCACAGGGGTCACCTAAAACATAACAGTAGCAAAATTACAGTTATGAAGTAGCAATGAAAATAATTTTATGGTTGGGGGTCACCACAACATGAGAAACTGTATTAAAGGGTCGCAGTATTAGGAAGATTGAGAACCACTGGTCTACACCATATATATTTACAACGTTAAAATTCACTACTGTACAACTATTAAAAAAAAAAAAAGTGGTTGAGCTAAGATTATCAGTAGTTTCTTATGTATGCCTTTAATATTAAATTGCTATTTGTTACATTATTTTATTGCCTACTACTATCTGCTAGGAAATAAGCATTAACATCAAAGATAAGAAAAAATTTTAAGGAAAACCTTTTAGAAATATGTTTTTATTGATTTTAGGGAAAGAGAGAGAGAGAGAGAGAAACACTGATCAGCTTCCCCCTGCCCTCAGGAATGAAGCCCACAACCTGGCCATGTGCCCTGACCAGGAATCAAGACGGCAACCCCTTGGTGCATGGGACAAACAGCCACACTGGCCAGGGCTGAAAGGGAAGCTTTGAACTTGAGTACATCCTACATAATACTTTGATGTATCTTTTTGTCTCCACATTGAGACATTAGCAAAACATCTATATTGGAAATAACACTAAGGTTTTCTGGAGGAGCCTTGACAACCCCTGACGTCCTAGAAAATGCCATATCAAAACTGACACATCATATAACATGTCTTTTTTCTCAACTTGGCCTTCAATGAGTTTTCTATCTTCTCTTTTCACACCACCTCACTGTGCCACACTGCAGCGGCCACACATCCCTCACAAGTGGCTAAGTGTTCCCCAAACACATCCCACAGCTTTGCTCCTGCTCCTTCCTCCTTCCAGAATATTCTTTCCTCCTTTCTCCTCCTGGCCAGTGAAAGCTCATCTAACTTCCATATTACCGTCTTGATTTCCCCTGTCCAGAAAAGTGCCACGAGAGCAGAAAACGTGTATGTCTTACTGAATGTTGTATTTCTGGCAAAAACATAGATCCTGATACAGAGAAAATGCTCCACAAATATCCTCTTCTTTGTATTCTCAGAGTCTCGATGCACACGCCTATTCACTTACCTCACTGTTCTGGAATTCTTTTCCAGTGACCCTGCCCTCACACTCTCTTTGTCTTGATCACGTAACAGATGCTCCATAAATACCTACATTTAGGTGAATTGAAAATACATTCTCTAATCTTCAGATGTTCGAAGTCTTTAGGAAAAACATTTAAACAATCTACCAAAATAGTATATGGCAAAAACCGTGAGATGTGCACACAGTATTAGGGGAGTTCTGATGAAGGAGCTCTACCTCTTCTGGCTTGTAGGTCTTTACCCTGGACTCTTCATAGAGACTGTGACATTTGAACTGTCCCTGGGAAAATAACAGTAAGTCCACCAGGAAAACAATAAAAAGGGTTCTAAGCTGAAGGAATTCATCACCAAGACAGAAACTGAGAGGGTAAGGTGGTTAGTACCCTCAGTGGGCTGGTATGGCTTCAGTGAAGGGTTCATGGCAGGCACTGGTTGGCAGGAGGCTGGGAAAAAGTGCTGGGCCTGGCAGCTCCCGGGGCCTGAACTTCACAACACGAGCAAGGAAGTGATTTGACCAGATCTGTGTCTTAAATCTGTGCTCAACACCCTCTTCTGCCCTGCCCCCTCCCAACACACGTTGACCACGTAAGAGAGTAGACCAGAGTCATAAATATGACTTGTGGACAAAGGCCCCAGCTACCTGAATCCTCATGAGAATCATCTTGAGACCTGGGACTGTGTTCTAACCATTGAGCAATCAGCCAACACCAGTGCTATGCAAATCACACATTGAAGCAGAAGTTAAGAATGTGGTAGAACCAACAAAGCTGGTTTCTTTGGAAAGCCAGCATCATTCACAAAAAGATTCCTGGCCTCAGTGAAGCCCTTTCTGATTTCCCAGCCCAAAGGAATCTCTCCATTGAAATACTCTGGAGCATTTAATTTTATACTTACAACACTTTGACTTTTTCCCCTTGAATTATGATTGTTTTGTGCTCATTCCTAGTACCACCTCTTTTCTCTCTGCCTCATTTTAAAAACTTATATTTAATATAATACAACTTTAGAAGACACCTTGGGAGCAAGATAAGGTATAAATCACTCAACAAGAAATCCTGTTAGATTTTTAAGTTTCAAGAAGGAAGAGGTCAGTCCCACTCACCTATATAAATCTCAAAGCACTAAGCAAAACATATTTGTTGAATAAACTGAAGTAGTGATAAAAATATGGTAAAGTAAAAACATTTGATGGCTTTTAAAAGAAGTTGATATTTTTGTAATTTTTTTCCCTTGAGAAACACCTATTTACTAACATAATTGCATAGATCTTTTTTTTAAATTTTCATCTCTCCTAACCATGGCTCCACTGTCTGGGGTTGTCGCTATTTTTTCTTTCTTTTTAAATCTTCACCTGAGGATATGTTTTTATTGATGAGAGAGAGAGAGAGAGAGAAAGAGAGAAAAACATCGATGTGAGAAACATTGATTGGTTGCCTCTTGTATGTGCCCTGACTGGGGATCAAAACTGCAACCTTGGTATGTTGCCCTGACCAGGACTTGAACCTGCAACCTTTTGATGTACAGGACAATGCTCCAGCCAACTGAGCCACCCAGTCAGGGATGTCCCTATTTTTTCTTGATTTGATTTGCCATAGTTTCAACCCTTGTATAGATCTCTTTGAAAAAATAACCCTTATATTTCTTTACTATATCTATTTTTTAATGTTTTTAACAGAACAGAGATATGTTTATTTCAGCAAAATTATAAAGTAAAACTACAAACAAAAATATTTGACATTCACTGAGACAATTTTGTAAAGAAAGTTAACCATAATCAGCATAAATATAATAAGTTATAAAGATTTGTTGACATTTTAATGGGGGGTGGATAACTAGAAGAAATACAAAAATACTTTAAAAATATAGCATCATTGCCACAGCACATGAAAACATGTCCATAGACAATTAACGATTTCCACTTGGACAGAGGATTTTTCAATCCTCTTTGAATTTACACTCTGAAATCTTGACATTGTCCTTTCACGGACTCACAGAGATCAGTCCTGTCACAAGCAATTAAGAGGAGCACTTCCTGTTAGATATACAGCACTTCAGGCTAATATTTAATCTTAATTGGCAACAAGTTTAGTGCAAATGAAATTATATTTATCAACTTAGAAAATTCCTGGTGGGGAGGCAGCCACCTCTTAACCCTTATTGCTTCCCCAAAGTGAAATCCTCTCTCTCCTTTCATGAGTGTGAACACTGGCCGTTCAAACCTATTGAAAACTACTAATGCTAATTCTACTGTTTGTGACATTGGGAGTTTCCATGAAAGCTGGTTTCAGCCACTAGGCAAATGAGCCAACAGTGTTTACATTAGGAAAGTTTCCCTTAGGTTGATTTAAAAAAAAAAAACAAAAAACAGAACCTGAACATCAGTCATAACTGGATCTTACCCAACAGATCCTCTGATCGTGGAGAAGAAACCCAAAGGAGTTACTAATCATTTCATGCATTAGCCTCCACAGGTTGCATCTAAAGAAAGACCAGGACAGAAATGAGGAATCTCTTAAATCAAATTCTACTCTTACTGATTTGAATGGGAAAGGAAGGGGGGAGGAATGGAATTAGGGAAGGAGGGTGGGAGGAAGAAATAAGGAAAGGAAGGAAGAAAGGGGAAGAAGAAAAAAGAATGAAAGAAGAAAAAGATAAAATAGAATGAAAAAAGAAAAGAGGAGCCATCCAATTTCAAATCTGGTGCTTTCCACTCTCAGCCAAATTTTTCTCCAAATGAATAGAAGCCAGAGAGCTACCAGCCAAAGAGCATTTTGTTGGCGCTTCATCAATTCCTGGAAGTGCCTCCCTCTGGTTAGGCAGCTGTCCCCTCTCTAGCCAAGCCTGGTATTGCTGCTTCAGAAAACAATGTGGCTTACTGTGCCCAGATCCAAGGTGGCAAGGGAAGAGGAAGAACACCTGCTGGGTTTCAAGCACCTGGCTCTGCCCCTGTAGAGGTTTCACTGGTCCAAGGAAGAGCTGTCAGAAAGCTTGAATGACCCCTGATACCCACAATGAGCTGACAAAAAAATCCAGGCAGGCCAACACCAGGCAGGCCATCTCACTTGATCTCCCTCTTTACCAATTCCTCAGCAATTTCTCTATCCGCCCTAAGTTCTCCCACTGAGTTGCTCAAGGATGGGGGTGCAGTGAGGAGAGGCCCACCTTAATCACTGTACTCTTCTCTTTCCTTTGGAGTGGGGAATTTCTCATATTGGTTGGACAGTTTCCATTTGTTGTGCTGACTTTTGAGTAGTGCAGCAAAAGAAGTCTTTCGGGTGATATTTCTAGATATTTCCCGGCTCTGGGACTTCCTGGTGGGGGAAGAGCTGCGGACTAAGGGATAGACAGGAAAAATAGGCTTGCCCCTAGGGGCTCCCAGGAGCTGCCATATTTCCCCAGAGGTATTACTGGTCAGATACTGCCATGGCTTCTTCCCACTGCTGTCCCGGACATTCACCCGAGAAGCCAACCTTTGCACTAGCAACTTCATGACCCCCTGGTGGCCATGAATGGCTGCAAGGTGCAGAGGGGTGTACCCACCACTGGACTTCACATTTACATCAAGAGCAATGCCTGCTTTCTGGGCACTGGAGATGAAGTCCTGAAGGGCCCCGAGGTCACCATGTTTGGCTATCCAGTGCAAAGCAGTGTACCCAGTTAAGAAGTCCTTGTGCAAAGCCAGCTGGGGATCCTCCAAAAACAAAGTCAACACACGAATCCAAGAGCCAGTGGCAAGCTTCACAATCCATTCATGCTCCCTAGCATCTAGGGGGACCAGAGAGGACTTGTGCTCAGGTCTGTGTGGGACCAAGGCTGCAGGCTCCTGCCTACCTGGGGCCCACAAACTGTGTAGCCAAACCCTCTCAGCAACAGCAGCCTTTATGTCAGTAGGTTTCGGTGTCAAAGCAGCATCCACCCTGGGGTTCGACACTGCTCCTGCCTTGGAGGTTTTCCTGGACCGTGGTGGGCGCCGGCTCTTTTTCAGCAAGTCCTCCTCAAGACATTCCTCATCGGAGGAGGAAAATTTGGCTCTCCCTGCCTGAGAGCTCAATCTGAGGGATCTCCTTAACTTGGGAGCTGGCCAGGGCCAAGGTTCCTGGGGGTGGCCTGCAGGACCATTAGCCCCGTTTGGGACCTGCTGAGAGGTATGACCTTCCCCTCCGTTCCTGAGACCTTGAGAACTCTTGCTGGAGCCGCCCTCCTTCAGAGAAAGGCCACCGGTTGAATTCCTGAGTTTTCTCCAATCTGAGGCTCCCAGGGCACCGTGCTGCCCCTCTTCAGAACCCCCAGGGGACTCTTTGGGTCCACTGCTGCTCTCTTCACTGCTGTGGCTATCCTGGTCCACAAAGTCATCCAATTCTTGAAGGGAGAGCTGACAACGAATGCTACGAAAGACTGTCACTGGAGGGCTTTCGGGCCAGGATTCGGGAACAACAGGAAAGAGAGAATTAAGGGAAAGAGAGGGGTCTAAAGGCGCAGATTTAGGTTCTGAGACCCGGAAGTCCAGATCCAAAGGGAAGTTATCTGGCAGCACTGACCAGGCTCTGATGGGGCCCTGGTCCCGGGCCTCGGGCATGTGGGGATGTCTGGCTACCCAATCTCGAGTGCGTTGCTGCTGCTGCTGCAGCGTAGAATAATGCAGATCGCCCGGGGTCAACAATGCAGGCGGGTCTCCAGGAGGAGGAGGGCGGGACAGGAGGGCAGGCAGGGAAGCTCCGCTCCCAGTAGCCTCGACGGTTGGAAGAGGCGAGAGGGGCGCAGCGGGCAGCTGTGCGGGCTCAGCGGGAGCGCTTTCCCGCTCCTGCCAGGGAGCCCGGAGGTCATCGTGCGCAGCCGGAGCCCGCGCCGGCTCCTCCCCAGCGGTGGCGGGGTCCGGGAGTGCACCTGGCAGCGGCTCGCCCGGGAGTCCCCCTAGGCCGTTCTGGAGACATTCCCAGCTGCCGCGGCCCTGGGTCTCCGCCGCCGGGCACTTTGCTCCGACCTGGGCAGCTGCCGCCACAGCCGTGGACCCCGGCGCCCTGGGGCTGGAGCCGCGTCTTCGCCCGCCTCCTCCCCCGGCCGCCTCCCGGGCGCCGCTGGCGGGGAGTCCATTGCAACCTGGATCAGCGGCTGGGGCTGCGGCACCTGCTGGCTCCTCCTCCTGCTCCTTCTCGTGCCGCCGCCGCCGCCTAGACTGCTGCTGCGGCGGCGTCTCCCCTTGGCGCGCGTCTCGCGGGGAGCAGGGCGCAGCTCCCCCTGCAGGGGCGGCGGCCGAGGGCGGGTCGCAAGGTCGCTGCAGCCCCTCCTCCCCTAAAAGTTCCCTGTACCGCTTCTTGAGTACTACGTACTTGGTGCCGTCGGGGTCCTGGCGCACTGCGGCGACCGAGTTGACAAAGCCCTTGAAGAGCTCGCGGCGGCGCTGGTGCTGGCGGGGGGACGCGTCCGGGTCTCTGAGAAAGCTCTTGAAGTGGCTCAGCAAGGCGGCGTTGGTCACTTGGCCCCCGGCCTGGCACAGGAAGTCCAGCAGCGCCTCCTGACTCAACTCCCGGGCCATCGCTGCCTTGTCCCCTGGCCTCGGGGTGTCTGTGTTTCTCCCTCCCTGCGCTCTGCCCCGCCAGCCGAAACCTTGGCTAGTCGAGTGTCACCTGCACCCGGGGCGGCGCCACCCGCCTCCATCAGCCGCGGAGGCTGGCGCGACTTGCAGCCCCCGAACGCGCCAAGAGGGCCGCAGGTCCCGGGGGAGAAGCCCCCCGGCTGAGTCCCTGCGCGCAGCCGGGTGGGAGAGGGCGTCTCTCAAGCCGCCTCCCAGGCCGCCCCTGCGCGACGCCGGCCTCTCCCAGAGAGTCGCCGCAGCGAAAGTTCCCGGGATAGGTCGGAGTCGGTTTCACCTGCGCTCTGGCAACGCCTCCTGCCTGGCCCTGGGGGAAGGGCCCGACCCGCCTCCTCCGGTCCCTGCCCCTCCGCCCTCCGAGGTCTCCCGGACCTGTGCCACCCATCCCCGATGAGTCAGGCTGGTCCGAGCCAGGGGAGCGCCCGTGGGTGAGGCGCGAGGAAGCGGGAGCCGGCCGCGAACCGCTCTGCAGACGCGCAGCCGCTCGCGGCCGGGGAAAAGGAAGGCAGGTGAGCGGCCGGCCGCTCCTTTGGATCTGGGCCACGTAGGAAACGAAAGCGATGGAAGATCCGTCCCTGCTCTCTCCTTGAGCTGCATAAGTAATGGCTGAAGTCGATGGGTGGGGAAAAGGTGCATATTAACCAGCATTTTGCGGTCTCTCTAAAAGGTGCCTTTCTTTATCAATGCAGTGGGGTAGTAATTTCAGATTCCCGGAGGTCAGGGGAAATTGATTTTGCCCCAAACAAGCCTCTCTTGATCGGGAGATACAGCCTAGGTATCGACTCCAAGGGGTCCAAATACACCCACGTCTGTACTGAAAAGAATAATCACTCTGAAGTTTACAGGTTGGTTTCGGCCTTTCCTTTTCCTTTGTGATTGTCTCACGTTAAGATGCAGGGGAGCCCTGGCCGGTTTGGCTCAGCGGTTAGAGCGTCGGCCTGCGGTCCGGAGAGACCGGGTTCGGTTCCCGCTAAGGGCATGTACCTCGGTTGCAGTTTGTCCCCGGCCCTGGTTGGTCGTGCGGGTGGCAGCCCCTCGATGTGTCCCTTTCATGTCGATGTTTCTCTCTCTCTTCCTCTCTCTCCCTCCCACTCTATCTGTACAAAAAAAAAAAAGGAAAAATGTCCTCCGGTGAGGATAAAAAAAAAAAAAAAGATGCAGGAGAAATTGGTTTGACAGTTGATTTGCCCCAGCAGTCAAGTGACCAGGAATTATGTCTTGACAGTTAAGGTATTTGATGCCAGGTGTTTACTTTGCTTTTATTTTCTCTAAAATTTGTGAACCAAAGGAAATTTTGTACATCTCTTTTGTGTTGGCTTAAGTAAAGTTGTCTTTCCCCTCTGAATGTAAGGTCTCCCCGACACATCCAAAATGTTAAGCATGTTACAGAATGGCCTGTTTGACCCCACTGCTCCAAACATTAGAATGTCCCTAGATTGTAATTCTCCATCCAGAGGCTGTAAACTGCCTAATTCAAGTCCAGTTGTAACTAGAGATACCTTTTTCATTGGCCTCTTCAAGACAGTAGAATTAAACTTTTCCTAACAGCTGCTTTCCCCTTCGTTTTATTTGTCCCTATGTTGGTCCTGATCTTTCTTTTATTGAGATCCTTGAGTAGAGGTCCTGTTTCTTTACTGTTTTTATTCCGGAGTACTTTCATTGTTTTATCTACTCACCTATCTGGCCCCATGCCCTCCCCTGTTATTTTCTTAGCTGTCTTTCCATTTCTTTCAGTCATCATGTCCTTGTTACCCTTACCCCAGATGGGACCTGCAAGTCTATTTCTTTCTTTTTTTTATCCTCACCCGAGGATATTTTTCCATTTTTTGTACAGATAGAGTGGGAGGAAGAGAGAGGAAGGGAGAGATAGACAGAAACATCAACATGAAGGGACACATCGAGTGGCTGCCACCCGCACGACCAACCAGGGCCGGGGACAAACTGCAACCGAAGTACATGCCCTTAGCGGGAACCGAACCCGGGTCTCTCCAGACCGCAGGCCGACGCTCTAACCGCTGAGCCAAACTGGCCAGGGCTGCAAGTCTATTTCTTGAAATCCTGTGTCAGTTCTATGTATTTCCAAGTGTAAAGATTTTGTTTTCTCCTGCCCTGTCATTTGCCACTCTTCTTGCCTATACTGACCGTCATCTTTCCACTTTCCTTCTTTTCTCTATCATTTCTGATTGTGTCACGAGTCCCTGTCCTTTCTGCCAAGGGAAGGTATTGAAAGTATGTTGGCCCCACAATTGTCAACCTGTTTTAGCATAAATCAGTCTAAGTGATGGCCATGTAGGCCACATTAGCTAAAATTTATTTTAAGTCCACAACAGTAACTGGTACTTTTCTGTGAATGAATTGGAATCTTTAACTTTGTTATCTAGGTCAGAAAGAAGAACTGGGAAACATTTTTGTCTATTTTTGGAATTTTCTAGATCTAAACCCAGTACTGGGTTGAGAGAGGGATAGTGGATTCCACTGATGTGGAACATTAGCTTCAAGCTTTTAGGAGGGTTGTTAAAATAAAGGTTTTGTATTAAACTTCAGCTTCCTTTTGTGTTTATTTCCTGGTGTTTCATCTTGTCTTGGTGGGACGGAGAGGTGTGTCCACACCTAGGGCAGGAAATCAGGTGAATGATTTATAGTGGCAAGTGGAAAGAACCCCCCTTTAGTAATCTTCAAAACTTCTGGTTAAAAATAGTGTTTTGTGGCAAGAGGACTTGAAGCACTTAGAACTAGGGAGAAAGGAAGGGGTCATCAAGAGCATGATTGTTGAGATGAGAGTATCTTTAGTTGAGGTGAAATTAGTAGGTGTGGAGGAGCAGAAAGGAGGGGAACAAAGAAAAAATGCAATTGCTTTAGATTTCTGGGTGCCCAGGTGGTTTAGCATTCAAACCTTCTCTCCTCCTTTTTCTCTCTTGGTTAAGGGGATGGTCAATTAGAATGTTTTCCACCTTATTTTAGGGAGAAAATCTCCCCCTTCGAGTACTGTTCACTATTTCCAAAAATATTTATGGCGTGTCCATGTCATCCTGGCACTATTGAAAATGGTATAAAGACGAAAACATACTCAAGAACTCACTATTTATTGGGTGCAATTAACAAGAGAAATGGCCCAAACCTGTGTGTTAAGTGACTTAACAAAGATGTGCACCAGATGCTGGAGAGGTAGTGCATAAGGGAAGAATCCTGGTTCAGCTTGGGGATTGGAACAATTTTCCAATAAGAGGCAACTCTGGGTAGAAGAGGTGAGGAAGAGGCAGAGGAAACAGGGTGCAGAAGCCCGAAGTTGTGGCTCAGCATAGTGTGTTTGGAGAACTAACTGCCAATAGATCCACATGGCTTTAAGAAAGAGGGTGTTTGTGGATGTGCTGGGAAGGAGACTGCAAAGTAGGAGGGAGTCAGATGATGAATGAGGGGTGGGAGGGGAGCCTTTGAAGAATTTTTGGGAGGGTAGTGACCTGACCAGATTTGTACTTTAGAAAGATCATCCTGGAAGTAAGTGCTGGTTTGGAATCATGACCCATATTAATGAGTAAAAAAGCACATTGCCGAACAATAGTGTATTTAATCAAATCTAAGACACCGTTCATTTTATGGTACATATTGGTTTCAGAGATGATAAAATATATTTTAAAAATTCCTCTTAAAGTAGAAGAAATACAGCATGTTTATACAGCATGTTTACCAAGATCCTATTTTTAGGAAGAAAAGTATGTATGTATCTAGGAGTAAGATTTGAGGAATGGATGAGGGGCAACTTTAACCTTTTTAAAAAATAGTCTTATAAGCTGTTTTGTAATAAGAGCATATTACTTTTTTAGCTTGAAAAAAAAAAACACTAAAGAAAATAAAAGATATAAATGAATAACAATGTCAAAAAAATAAAACAAACAAAAAGCAGTATCAAATCTTTAGGCTGGAAGAGGGAGATGAAGCTGCCGGCAGGCAGAACAGTCGGAAATTACTGCGAAGATTCAGAAAAGGCCTACAAAGGGCTGAGTTCAGCAGTGTCGGAGACCGGGAGGTGAGCAGGTGGATTGAACAGCTACTTCGTGGGCGAAGTCCATGGGTTTGCAGCCGGAGGAGCCCCGCGGTGAGGAGCAAGCTTGGCTTTTCTCATGTGTCTGGCCTGAGCTGCTGGATGGCTGACTGTTACCATCTACGAGTATAGAAAATATAAACCAGAGTCGGTTTTAGAAATGGGAAAGATGATACATTCAATGTGGGGCGTATTAAGTTTGAGACACCTATAGGCCATAAAAACAGGACTGTCTGCCGGTTGGATGTTGGTTGGGTGTCCTCCCATGTATCAAGAGGTCACCTGTTGGATTCTGGTTGGGGCATATGCCCTGGTTGTTGGAGGCAGCCCATCGATGTTTCTCTCTCTCTCCCTCTCCCTTCCTCTCTAGAAATCAATAAAAACATTTTTCAATAAAACAGTAATGTCTAGAAGGCAATGTAGGTTCGAGGCTCCAAGAATGTATGACATTAGCATATATAAATGGTCATTTAAGCCACAGGCAATGATAAAATTGCTTAGAAAGAGATATACAGGCAGTGGGAAGGGAAGGGGTGTAGGGGAAATCCACATTTACCAAAGAGAAAGAGGAAAAGAAACCTATTAGGGAGACTCAGGAGCAGCTGGAGGGGAAGAGGAAGCCCACTGAGCAGGGTACCACAGAAGTCCAGAGGCAGAGGAGAAAAGCTTTCTAGAGAGGATGCCAAGTTAGATAAGAAGTGAAATGTGACCATAGCCAGTTAGGTCACTGAGGCCTGGTCTGGAAGAGTTCCAGGAGAGTGGTGAGGACAGAAGTCAGGCTACAGAGGGGTGAGGAGTGAGTGGGGTTAGGGTAGGGTGAGAAAGACTTGATCACGAAAGGAAAGAGAAAAGATGATTCTAGATAATCAGTCAGATCAGGTAATCTAATATTTATTTATTTATT